CAAGACTGGGGAAGGCCTAAACAGATTTATTTTGAGTTTGGAAATGGTTCTTAACTGATAGTAACAAGTTTTAACAAAAGAACTGAGTTGTTTGTCAAGACAGAGCTCAGAATCATAGACAACACCCAGGGTTTGTGCATGTGACTTCACTGATATGAGCACTGATTTTATAGCAATGTTATACTGACATTAGACAGAATTGTGCCATATTATTATTCATTAGAGTAGCCATTCCACATGGGTTCTTTTTTCAGATATATTATCGTGATGTATCAATGTAGAAAAGATCAAAGGGAAGCCTGTCATTGTCTGTCTGCCCTCACCACTGCCCTCCATACATGGGCGGCAGGCACAGATGTCTGCGCGGGATTTCCCTCTCCATGTCATGCCATTCATGGAGTGGCTGTTGTCAATGGGGCAATGGGCTACCAAATATGGAGAAAGGGTCGCTCGGCCCCTTCTTCCAGACACTTGTCAGGGTATAAATTGGTCCGACGTGACATTTCGGCACCCCCTGGTTCACGCTCTCAAGATCCGGTGCCTGGTGCTGATCTGGTGAGTACCTGCACTGCTGACCGAAGGAGGACTTTAAAAAAAACAACCAGTGGATTTATCACAAGAGGATGGATACAGGATTTTAACAGTGATTTCAACCTAACCAACATCTAACTGAAACGGATTATCTCACCTCATCTGCCTGTAGTTCATCCACTTCTTTTGTTTTACAGATTGTGAGTTGTTGTGAAATACTAAAACAAATATTGACTTTATTAGCTCTAGAAAATCATATTCTAACCCAATCCTGTAACATACACTTTGATAGCTTATAATACCACGTTATAAAACTAACCACACAACACTGTTTGTCCACACAAAGCGACTTTATGTGTGTTGTGAGAAAGCAATACCTTCCATCACCCGCTCCAAACACACAAGGGGAATTCCATTACCCAATCTAACAGTGCCACTGCCCTTATGTGTGTGTTTCTCAGCTGACACCATGTGCGACGACGAAGAGACTACCGCCCTGGTGTGTGACAACGGCTCCGGCCTGGTGAAGGCTGGGTTCGCCGGCGATGACGCACCTCGCGCCGTGTTTCCCTCCATCGTTGGTCGCCCCCGTCACCAGGTAAAGTCACCCATCCATACACTCCACGGATGTTAAGGGACGAGTGTCCGTTTAAGAATCACATGAAAACAATCTGAGCAGCTTTGGATGAGGGGCCAGATCCATCGTGCGTTTTTACGCGCCAAAACTAGGCACCCACATTTTAACTGGTAACTGAGGAAAGCAGATCATATGTTATTAATAGTAGTTCACTACACCACATCACTCATGTCCTGGTTCTTGCTGTTATCAGGGCGTCATGGTTGGTATGGGCCAGAAGGACTCCTACGTCGGCGACGAGGCCCAGAGCAAGAGAGGCATCCTGACCCTGAAGTACCCCATCGAGCACGGCATCATCACCAACTGGGACGACATGGAGAAGATCTGGCACCACACCTTCTACAACGAGCTGCGTGTGGCCCCGGAGGAGCACCCCACCCTGCTGACAGAGGCACCCCTCAACCCAAAAGCCAACAGAGAGAAGATGACCCAGATCATGTTCGAGACTTTCAATGTCCCCGCAATGTACGTGGCTATTCAGGCCGTGCTGTCCCTGTACGCTTCTGGACGTACCACAGGTAGGACAGCTTCCTCGGGGTGTGTAAGCGATTTGTACGATGGGTCAATGTATTATTAATTAAACTTTAACGTATTCATCATCAGGTATTGTCCTGGACTCCGGTGACGGTGTGACCCACAACGTGCCCATCTATGAGGGTTACGCTCTTCCTCACGCCATCATGCGTCTGGATCTGGCAGGTCGTGACCTCACAGATTACCTCATGAAGATCCTGACTGAGCGTGGATACTCTTTTGTCACAACAGGTGAGTGTAGACTGCAAATACATATTTATGGCAAACACACAGAAGGGGAAAAAGTGAGCAACTGGAAGTTTTGTAAACCTTTCCCTCTGACAAATTCTTTACGCAATTCTCTTCACATCCAATTGTCTTCAAGCTTTTTCTGATATGTTAGATGATGCATAACAGACTGATATCACAAAAATCTGACCCCTTCCTTCAGCTGAGCGCGAGATCGTGCGTGACATCAAGGAGAAGTTGTGCTACGTGGCTCTGGACTTTGAGAATGAGATGGCCACCGCCGCCTCCTCCTCCTCCCTGGAGAAGAGTTACGAGCTGCCCGACGGTCAAGTCATCACCATCGGAAACGAGCGTTTCCGCTGCCCGGAAACCCTCTTCCAGCCCTCGTTCATCGGTGCGTAAAGGCTGGCGCAGACATCCAAGAGTTCATTTAGCTTTGGTGACACTGTGAACTGTGGCTTTTAAAGGTTTGATACTGTAACTTGACTTTAAGCCTTTACTATAGTCATTTCAGTATTAGAGTTAACCTAAAGTATTAATCCACGACAAATGGAATTATAATGTTGCATGTTTTGGGCGCAAATCAACTTTTATTCTATATTTTTAAAGAGAAAAAGAGCCGGGCTGAGGTAAATCAAGCTTAGTGTATTCATCCAAACTTGTAGTGAGGATGCACGACTGGATCCTTGCATCTGAGTGAAACAGGACTGTAAAAGAAAGTGCACAATTTCAGGCAAACATCAATGTGATATCAAATATTATATTATATCGGGATAAACAGTGGATACCATTGATGGTTTTCTGAAAATAGACGTGTTTATTGCCTGGTTGGCCGCCTAATTATTAGACCACCAACTGGAGGTCACAGTTTATCCACCTTCAGCTTTACCACTTCATGGCCGATAAATAGACAGAGTAATCTAAAGCAGGGGCTTATTGTTCGCATTTGCGCCACAGAGCGCGCAGCTGTTGGCGGAGCTTTCCATTTCAGCACCTGTTCCGACAGCTGAGGGCGGTGTCAGATGTGTTCTTTGCTGCAGGGAGGGGGGTGGGGGTTAAAAAAACTCACTAACTTGTGCGCTTTGTTTGCACAGGCATGGAATCTGCTGGCATCCACGAAACCACTTACAACAGCATCATGAAATGTGACATTGACATCCGTAAGGACCTGTACGCCAACAACGTGATGTCCGGCGGCACCACCATGTACCCCGGTATCGCTGACCGCATGCAGAAGGAGATCACTGCTCTGGCCCCGAGCACCATGAAGATTAAGGTAACTTTGACTCACTGCTAGATCACAGTGCAACGTTTTTCTACGAGCTATGAGTCCCTGGATTAAAAAAAAAATGTGTTTGTGTTTAGATCATCGCCCCTCCTGAGAGAAAGTACTCCGTATGGATCGGCGGCTCCATCCTCGCCTCCCTGTCCACCTTCCAGCAGATGTGGATCAGCAAGCAGGAGTACGACGAGGCTGGACCCTCCATCGTCCACAGGAAGTGCTTCTGAGCGCCAGGCTGCCCCTCCCTTTTCCTCACTTACCTCCCCCCTACTGTGCCAACAACCCAACGTGTGTGTTCGTCGTCAAATTATTTGTTTACACTCAAGTGCAATTTATATGTGGATATGTATAGGTTTATAAATAAACGAGAACTGAGACTTGCAGTAGACGCATTTTCTTTCTTGAGTTTTCGGTTGGAATCTGGTAAATATGGGTGTTTCTCGGGATCTGGTTTAGGTCTCTCGAAATCAGCGAGACTCTGTCCTCTCGTCACGTGATGGACGAGTAAAGGTTATTAAAGATTTGAATTAGAAAAGATTACAGTGAGCGGAAAGGATAAGCCACCTCATGAGAAATTAACCGCACAAAGTTTCTGTGAAAACACCGCTGTCACGTGATCGGTAATCCGCCGGTTCCCAGGTTAGACAAAGCTCACACTGTAACCTACTGAACACATTTAGATGCTGCTTGTTATAATAATAATACTTATAATAATAATAACCAAATAACTTATTGACAGGTAAATTGGATTCAAATTTGAGATTAATATGAACAATATTAATATTATATACAATTATTCAAGAAATGTAATATGCACCATCTTGAGAGACTTGAATAGTGTCAAACCACACAATGGTCTAATATTAGTGCACACACAAAGCAGCGCCATAAGTTGATCACATCTCAGAGCAATATGCAGGGCGGGTCACATATTTTGCTTCTATTTTTAAACCTTCACACACACACACAC